AGGCTTTTCACTGGTGTGAAGTGTTGATGAAAGAGAAGCTGCGTTGCTAAACAAGTTAGCTTGTTTGCCACTGTTCCCTTCACATTATTTATTTTCAGTAGAGCTGTCCAGATCCGATATTGATGTTGGAAATTGGTCCACTATCAGCCAGAAAAAGCAGTATCAGGTTATATTGGCCTGCATCTACAATCTTTGGCAATGCAAGTTGACAAAAGTACTCTGTTCCAGCATTTAGTCCACCCCAGAATTTAGTCTGACCCAGAATTTAGTCTGACCCAGCAGCTGGTCCGTCCTGATATTTATTCCATTCTACATTTAGTGTCCCCCGGCTTTAGTCGACCCCTGCATTTACTCCGCTCCAGCATTTAGTCCATCCCAGAAATCAGTCCATCCAGAATTTAGCCTTCTCCAGCATTTCTATCCAGCAGCACTCGTATCCTGAACACAGGATAATAATGGTTAATAATGAGTGGGTCAGTTGTTCTCAGACCTACTGTTGTTGACTATTGTTCTCTGCTTGACTAATATCACTAGATCAACTATTTCCTGACATTCCACACTGCAAAACAAGTAATAATAATGTGTATGATTCCTGCTGTTATCTAATCTGGCCGATATCGGTATCAGCCAACACTCAAAGCAGCGATATTGTTGTATTGGAACACCCTTAATTTTAAGTTCATTATTATCAAGATCTAAACAGCATCACCTGATGAATGAGTTTTGTGTTAGCTGGTCAGTACTGTACACACACACACACACACACACACACACACACACACACAGGTGGGAAGAAGAAAGACTCAACAAGCATAAATCTATAGTTGTATAAATATTCCTGCATGTTGCATTTTCTCCATAACACAGAGCATATTTAAGCAGACACACAGATGATGAAAGTTTTAGAGACTGTTCGAGCTGCAGTCAGTAGAGCAGCGCTGCAACAGGAACACAGCGTGAATATCCTGCTCAGTCCTTCCAAGACTGTTGGCAAACACGCTTCCCTTGTCACCCCGTCTTACTATTCACTGCCCCCGTCTCTGCCCGGGTCACAGGGAGGACATTTCTGAAGAACAACACCAATATATGAGGGGGAAAAACTCCAAAGCTGAAAGAACGACTGCTCCACCTGAATATGATCATTAAACTTTGAATTTAAGATTAAGAAGTATCAAACAGGAGTTAACTTCAGATATGAAATTGACTCCAGACAATTTCTCCAGTGACTCAAGCTCGCTCATTAGATCTGCAAACATTCATTGTTCAAGTCATGGCACAGATTCTCAATTGGGTTTAGGTCTGTACTTTGACTGAACCAGTCATGGGCTCACTGTCCTGGCCCGGTCTGAAATCTGTTGCTTCCCTTTTCGTGCTGAAGACAGTAATCCCCACAGCACTATGCTGCCATCACTATGTTTCACAATGGGAATGTTGTGTTCAAGGTACGGTCTGACCCTTCGTTTGTTTTTGGTTTTTTTAATATGTAGCATTTGCCAAAACGTTACATTTTGGTTTCATCTAACTAAAGAAACTCCTTCCTACTCTTCTCATTTTTTCAATTTCTAAATTGTTTTTTTTTTAATCTTATTAAAATTTCCCTTCCACACCATATAATACTGTTCCCACGTTATCTCACATTGGGATGGTATGTTCACAATGATGAGCAGTGTTAGGTTTCTAAAACCTATGACTATTTGCTGGCTAGCCAAAATGTTGTCACTTTGTAGCACAATCAAGTAACTATGTTCAAGTAACTTTGGTTGTTATAGAATTGCTGCATATCTGTGAAATATGACTTAAAAGATATTTGATTTCATGATTTGAAGCCTTGAAATTGGGCCTTTCTGTGTCTCTGAAACTCCGCCTCCAGGAAGTCATCACCACATGGCTCCTTTAATAACCCTTTAAAAGCATTTTTTACCAACTTCAGACTGAGAAGTGGCCAATTAGCAAACAAGATGTTTGCTAATTGGCCCTGGCTGGTTTGAAGGAGCGGAATGGCAGCATGGTGGGGGGTACTGCTCTGAAGCTTAAATTTTTCCACTCGACAGGTACAAACCTCTGACAGGGTCTCCAACACAGCGCCTGTTCAAAATCGCATAAATTATTGATTAAGTGAAGTAAAAATAAATTGTGTCAATTTTTGGCAGCCCTTTGTATCACATAGTACCGATGAAGTGCCTCTATAGCAAAAAGGTTGGTGACTCATGCTCTAAAATATGAAAAAACAGCTGATTCTAAATATATTTACAAGCATATTTTAAATATAAAAATTATGTAAAGTATACATTATTGATAAAACACTATTTTTGTCACTAAGCAGTCCATATATATATAGAATTTGTACAATAGATGAGGTTATGTTGGATATAAAATGCATAAATAGTGGTGAAGAAGGAAAATAAGCTATTGGGTTAGCTGTGGTGACTGTTAGCTGGAAAGCCCCCAAACCAAATTCTGCTCAGGGTCCCAAACAGCTTTGGACCGCCTATGTTTTCAGACTTTTTCCTCATAAATCCTGAAGGATGTCAACACTTCGTAATATGTGAGCAACCTGCACTTTTTTTTTAAATATATAGCCTATATATATATATTTTAAAAGCTCTTTTCCCTCCGGCAGTCGGGACGTTTCTCCCCCCACCAATTTACGTTTCCACCGGCCTCACCTTCTCCTTCCTCGCTCTGGGCTTTTCCATCCCCGCTAAATCCTCCGCCCGCTGCTCCAAACTTTGATCCCGCAGCAGCGGCGGCTGCAGCAGAAGTGAGGGAGGGCAGGAAAAGCCTCCGACACCATCCAAAAACCGGCCCGCGGAGTCGGTCCCGTCGGTTCCCCGGTGATGAGTGCTGCGAGTCCTCGCGACTCAGCGGCACGCGCGCGTTACGTCGACACTTTCCAAAGTTTTCCTCGGCGGAGAGTTAATCCGCAGTGAACGCGCCATGTTCCCCGCTGCCGATCCTCCCCATAGCGGAATTTTTGTCCGGTGAGAGGCGGGGATCCGGTCGGCTCCATGGCTGCAGCTCTCGGCAAGGTTTCAATTACTCCTCATGACATCAGAGGGGAATTGAGTTACCTGATAGACATTGCGAGGCCCGACAAAAGCCGCACACAGTGACGGTGCGTGCGCGGGGGGAAACGAGCACCGCGTGGACTTGGTTCTTATTAGGCACGAGGAAAATTATAACCAAACATAACAGGAAACTGTCTTTTTTATATATTAAAAAAAATCTCTAAAATATCCAGCTTGTTTTTAACATGCCTGCTGGGAAATTAGATTTTTATAATCTTCCAGTTTAAACTATCTGGGAAAATGTTTGAGGAAAAAAAATAGTTTATTTAACATGGGGAGTCCACCCAGGGCGCCAGTCTGTCACGGGGCGGCGACCTGGAGAAAACTGCTGCTGTTTATGCATTGAACAACTTTTCTCCTGATTATTCAAGCCATTCCTGTTATATTTCTGGTCCTAATTTCTATGGAAGTGAAAGTCTACAACCTTTTTTCCAAGCATTTTCTCTCTTTTTTTTTATTTTTATTTTTTTATCATCAGCTACAAATTTCCTTCTCTGATGAACCAAAAAAATCACAATGAGAAAAAGTTTATGTTCATAAATCTAAATTTTTATCAGTGCTTCTTATGTACAAGTATTTACAAATGATTTCCAGCTCATTGCAACGCCAACCAACATTTACACATTTACAAAGGTTATCACAAGAATTCTGTATAAATACAACTTCAACGTGCCCCAATAGGAGCTGGGCTACAGACAGACAGCAGCTAACAAACATGTTCACATCAGATGTTTTTTTTTTTTATGTAAAACTAAAAACATGACAATTCTCCCCTCCCCCACATATCATGTGACACTTATCCTGTGCAACATTTTGGAGAAAAGTTATTAATTTGGTGGCAGGGTCATGCTCTGGGGTTACAGTACTTTAAGTACAATCAAGGTGTTTGAAGCTCAAGAAAAATAAAGCCTTTATTAGCATAATATTAAAGTTCTGGTATGACCTAGTCAAAGTCCGGAGCTAAAATTGCCCTCATAATCAATAGGTTTGATTTTCTTTCCTTCTCTCCGACATGTTTGTTTGTTTTTCAGTTGAACTCCACGTAATAAATGTCACATCATCTGAAAAATTTGAAAGGATTTATGACTGTCACGTTTTTTGGGGGTGGGGGGGGGGGGGTTTCCACATCACCAACAGGTGGCAAGAGCTGAACATTTTTGAAGCCGTCATTTTTCACATTTTCGAACCAGCTGGGGAGAGAAACAGGCACCAGATCTGGAGCAGATCAATACATTATATGAAGTGCAGTAGCAGAAACGTGAACCATCCTCAGGCTCAACTTTCGTCTCGGAAGTAAGTTCTGCAACGTTCCACTAAAGAAGAAATGCATTTCCCAGATTCCAGAAGGAGTTTGGCTTAAGCTCCTCAGCGACTCAGAGGTTGATCAAATAAATATATAATAGTGCAATAGTCAACAGGGTCCCAAAGAAGTTTTCAGTTCTGAATAAAACATAAGACATTGTGAAATAAATATCTGCCAGTTATTATCTCAGAAATGTTGAGAAAAAACATTAATCTTTATTGTAAAAGTCTTTGTATTCCAATTTCTTATTTTATTTCTTTATTCACTTTTTCTTACTAAAATACATTGCTGGGGGAAATGTTTGCTGTATGGAGAGAATAAAAGAAAAACGACTTGTTCTGTTGTCGGCCTAAGAGCCGATTAAAGATTGTAGTTTCAAAGTATGGAAACCACCGCCCTCTCCTGGCCATGAGGCAACATTGCATTCATTTCCAGAAGGACTAACCGCTTTAACGCTGATTATTATTCAACAAGGTTGCCTTGGAAATAATGTCTGTAAGTTTTCCATGTTCAATTTTTTTTTTTTAATTTTTCAACCTAAAAGCTTAATATATAGTAACTTTATTGAAGAGAGCTGAAATAAGAATAACAGTGATTGGCTCAAGGTTTATTTGTATAAACAACTAAGACTTACTTTTGCTGAATTATTAAAGTTTTTTTTAAACGTTCTTTAAAAAAAAAATCTTTCATTGAGGGGAAAAACGTAAAATAATTGAAATATGTTTCTTTGTTTGAATAAAGTCCTATAAAACCATGTTTAATCACTTATTCCACAATGTCTTTTGTCCTCCCTGCTACTGGCCGTTCAGTTGACCTCTGTTCCTGTGACATTAGGCGGTTCTGTGCTTTGGACTTGTTTTTTGTTCCTCCCGGATTGTCTGGGTCGAGTCATTCTCACACACAGCTTGTAAAGTCTCACGGCTCGGTCTTTCCTCTTTGCTTTCGTCCCGCCCGGCCTCCTGCCCTTCCGCCTCTCTGCCTGTAGGTGGCGCCGCTCCGCCCTTTCAACACCAGCTGGGTCCAGCCGAGGAAGTGCTGCTGTCACCAACGTCGCAGTGCAGCTGCAAAGCCGTAAATGAAAACGTTTTAATCTCCATCTCTGTAATTTTACATATATTAGCTTAGATTATATTAATGTAGAATATATAAGAAATAAGGAATAAATTATATGAGTTTTTTTTTTTTTACTGCTTTCCGTTCAGAACTTTAGTTCACGTCAACATGCCGCATGGTCATTTTAAACTGTGAACGAATTAAATAAATCTAAATGAAATGAAACGAATGGAGCACACTGATGTGGCAACGAATCTTTGTAAATGTGGAGACGTCAATTACATCTGTCGGCCTTTGCTGGTCGTTTCTCAAGATTTGACTAACGTCTGTCGATTAACAGCACTTTATTCTTCGGATGTGAAAAATGCTGATTTGATCTGGTCGCTTTTATTTGGTGCGGCAGACCCACTGGGGTCACATCGATCAAACATCTTTAGCTCTGAATTCCATTTATGCGTTACGCCACGCTAATGTTCATAATTAATTTTTGTGAATTTAGAGATACTTGACAGAGCCCTGCTATTTATTTTATAAATCGTCAGCTTCTTGCCACGATAGAAGAAGATGAAAATCTGTTACAGACTTTTCAGCCAATCAAAGACTAACATTTTTTCAAAATGTTTTCTCTTTTTGTATAACTTTGTTCTGCTGTGATGGTTTATTAAAAGTACTTGGACAAACTTTTTACAGTGGGTTAATTAAAGAGTTTGTCCCACAGAATGATTATGCAATATTATGTCCATGACAACGCTGTATGTGTGTGTAAATACTGACTTGCTGCTTGACGTGCAGTCCTGGGCAGGAAGCAGGACTGAGACACATGTCCAATCAGAAGAGTCTCCACGTTGCTCAGTCGTCTCTGTTGAGTCAGAGTGTGGAACAGTCTGCAAGGACGTGCAGAGAAACGTCAAATACGTTTCAGAAAAATAAATTAATTAAATAGTCTGTTCAGCTGTGTGTCACTGTGGCGCTACGGTAACGTCCAGAGACGTAAAGGCCTGTCAAAGAGCCACCGTCTTACATAAGCAGGTCAATGTTTACACTGGGCCTGGTCCAGTTTTGTGTTATGAAATGTCTCCCCACGTCTGATTTGTGTAAGCAGCCACACACACCCACACACGCAAACAGAAAGAGGAGTGTTTTGTTATCATTGGGTCTGAGGTTGCTTTGCAAAAACTAGTGTTCGGTATTTTAGAGATGATGTATGAGTTGCTTCTTTATTATCAATACATACTGAGACCACACAGTTTGTGTCATTTAAGAGCAGACTACATATGTGTTAGAAGGCAGAACCGAAACGCTGCTCACTGGCCAATGAACGGACCAATTACCTGGACCGCCCATCAGTCTGAATCAGGGGTTGCGTTGACCAAATATGACACACAGACGTTAGTGTGAAAACATGACTGGACTTACCTGGCGGTGCAGTTGCAGTGATAAAGCGTTCCTGCTCTGTGTTGAGGAGGCCATATTTCCTCTGCTGCGGAAGGATCTTGTTCTTACACTCATCAAGTTCTTTGTACAGAAGGCAAGACCTGTCTTCCTCTGTGGAGGGGATGCAAACATCAGGGGGGATTTCAGTTCAGTTTCAGCAACAGAGTGTAAAACCAAACCAACTGCGCCAGGCGCCGTCAGGTTGAAGTACCTGTAACTGCGTTGTGCTGCCGAACCGCAGTGAGCGGCGTGAAGGGTAAAACGTTCCCCGGGTCATCTCTCCTCACGGTCAATGCTGACGCCTCTGCGTCTGTGGAGTTCGAAGCATCGGTCGCTCCGGTAACGGAGGGAGTGACTGAGGCTGAGGACAGCGTTTCCGTGGCAGCGGTGGAGGACAGCAGGTGTGGACGTGACGCGTTTGTTTGTGGAGTCGTGCGGGTGCGGTGGAGTTGACGTCGGAGCAGGAGCCGTTGATGCAGCCCTCTTTGGACTCACTGGACTCGTACAGCGCGGGCGAGTGGACGTCGGCGTACAGCGCCATCTGAGTCTTTTTACACCTGTGAGGTCAGAGCAAAGGGAGAAATGACGAGAGGGAAAATATTCTACGCAGGAACATTTAAGATGACCAATACTGACACTGTTCCCTTGTTCTTCAAGTTCACATTCATATTGTTTACTGTCAACAAAGAACACTTTGAGTTCCCTCCAAGGCTAGATAAGCTTTGACAAGATGAAGATGAAGGCTCTATGTCAACTGAGACTGAAAGCCTTCCCTGTTGACGATGTACATCTACTGTCAAGAAGGAGGTGGTAGCATCCTGCTGCGGGGGGGATAATGTGGAGACCCGCCTATTTGTGGTCCAGTGTTTGCGAAAATTATCAAAATTTGCTGAAATTTCAGGGAAATTTGCAGAAAATTCACCTACTTGCATTATTTATTGTTTATATTTTTACTTGTGGCATGCCTGAAACAGTCGAGAGAAAATGCAGCTCGGAAGCTGGGATACGTAGGCACAACGCGATTTGACGCTATGTTTGCAAAAACTGCTAATTCAGGAGTGCCATCCATTTTTTTTTTTGTGCCAATCGGTATTAAGTGCTGAAATGGTTTCCACTGTATGTTATTGCGTATTATGGTACATTTTGCTGCTTGAGCTATTAAAATATGAACATACAAGACTTTTTAGAAGGAGTCCTAAGTACTGTTAAATTTTGGGGTGGCTCTAGTTGCTAATCTTTGTGAATATTAGCGGTCCAACACAATCCCAGATTTTAGCAAAGGCATTAACTTCCTTATGCTTTCTTTCAAAGTACTGTCATTGTCTAAGTACATGCAAAATTGATTCTTTACACACAAACACACACACACACGCACGCACGCACGCACGCACAAACTAAGTTATTATTTGCTCATTGGATAACTTTGTTTGTCTGTCCAAAAGTTGCAGCCAGTTCCTTGAACTGCTTTTGAAACGTTTCTTTCTAGAAACTGAGATCAATGCTCTCAAAGTATAGCTGCTTTTTGCCCGACGTTTGGAATCAAAGCAAGACTCACATGCCGAACCAGTTCCTCTCGCGCACTGGAGCCGGTGAGAAAAGGTAAAGCAGTGCATCTTGAGCAGGTTGAAGAAGGTGTAGCCCACCACGTCAGCTATGCTGTCGTTCGCCTCCATCAAGCAGCTGCGAAACCTGGAGCGCAGAGAGCATGGGGGTTGAGGGGCAGAGGGGGAACCGTGAGCAAAACCACAGATAGTGGCGATTTTAACTGCTGGGGATGGAGCAGGCTTTGTTTGGGAGGCGGCGAGTTACTTGTTGTCGCAGTCGCAGTGGGACATGGTGAAGATGTTGCTGTTGAAGACACCAAAGTCGGACTGGAAGGACAGGATGGTGTGTTTGCACTGGTCATGCTCCCTGCAGCAGCTGTCTGTGTCTGAAAAAACACCTGCAGGAGGAGAGTGTGGAAAAGGGAGTTTTGCTCAGGAGAAGTGGCAACAAGTTTTCATAAAGCACCTTTTATTGATGCACAATGAACAAAATCTTCTTTTTTCACTAAATTATTTTGCACATTTTGCCTTGGAAACCTACACGGAGAAAAACAAATATGAATATAAGAATATTATGGGCAGGTGAGACAACAAACGTTAGTAGGCGAAGTCTAGTCAAAGCTTTCAAAACCTAAGAATACTTTACTGGCTGTTAAGCACGGTGGTGGAGGCATCATGCTGTATTCCAAACATTTTGAGAAACTATCAAATTTTACATTTTTCAACACCAATCAGCAGCTAAATGGTTATTAATATTATTCAACAAGATCAATTTTGAGAAGTGTTCTTTTTTTTGTCATAGATGAAATAGATTAAATAGGCTCAGGATTTACTCTATTGAAACTATGTGGCGTCATTAAGATATTTATCTTAATTAGATAAATATCTTCCTATAAAGTCATAAAACAATCTTTCACTAAACCATAAAACAATAAACAAATTGTAATGCTTATTGGCTGTTTCATAATTTCTTGTATCTGCGTGATGTTTTTATCACATAAAAACTTTGAACCATCATGTCGTTGAAATGTGCTATAAACCTGACTTATAATCTTGATTCTGTGTGGACTAGAGAAAATTCTCAATAAATTAACACCTCTGATGTGCCATTGGACGTCAGCAGGTCGTTTTTGATCTAGAGGCCCAGATATAGTTGCCTGTATAAATATACACTATCATTTTACGGGCTGATTAGCTACTTTTGATTTTTTTTAAAAAGCAATAAATCAGTTATACCTGATAAAGTGGCCAGTGAGAGTATAATAAATCATAAGGCATTTCTCAAAAGGCCAACGATAAAAGACGCACAACCGATAAAACTTTGTGACATAACTTGAAGTTTTATCGCGATATTTTTGCGGTAGTATCGGGATGAGAGCGATAAAAGTGAAAACTGTTTGTTGCTTCTTCTTTTTTTAAGTGACTATGGCGCATCAATCACAGCAATTTGTAATAGGCTTAAAACACCAATCACATAAAAAGTATGATTTGTATCACCAAACTACACACAGTGACTGCATTTAGAAATATGTCCAAATGTACTGACATGCTATGATAGTGGAGAAAATATTAAAACTAACCCTAACCCTTTTATCATGAAAACTAATAAGAAATGTGTCACGATAACTGATAAACGATAAGATAAAAGCCCACATCTCAAAACATAACAGAGACTGTTCGTTGTTAAAATGTGAATAATGTGATTAGGTAACCAGTGCAATCTTATTTCTGTCTGTTGGATGATGGTCAGTTCAAACACAGCATCACTTACCCAAATCTGCGTATGACGGCGCTTTGTTGCCAGAGCCGCACCACAGAGTCCCGGGGACGATAAAGCCGCGCTTCACACGCGCATGTATCCTAACCCCTGACCTTTCATCTTCGCCTTGACCCCCGAGGCTCCTCACGTGTCTCCCCGCTGTGCGCTCCGGGAGATTAGCGAGGCTCGCAGAGGCCAGAGAGACGCACCGACCCGCGTCAAACAAGGACTCCAGACCCAACGCTTCCCCCGCGCGGTCGTCGAATCCCCACGCGCGGCCCCGGCACTCAGACAGGTAGCTCTGGGTCAGCGCTGCGTCATCGCTCCAGGTGCAGCCGAGCAGGGCGCGCTGCCCGGACCAGACGCCATGGTACAGGCGCGGCGCCGCGGCGCTGCCGCGCGGATCCCCCCGCAGGAAGCTGACGTGCAGTCGGCCGTCGGAAGAAACTTTGCTCCAGCTGCAGTGGATGGAGGCTTGCGCGGCCGTGCAGACCAGGAGGGCTGATGTCACAGTGAGAGCCAAGAGAGCGGAGATGTGCGTCATCTTGGCGCATCGATGGAGCTGCGGCCGGATGAGAGAGAGAGACTGCTCCACTTGAACTCTGCAGCAAAGTGCTAACTTCTTCCTCTGGGAGGGTTTTTATTCATTGGTAGAGTCCAGGTCGGTTTTAAATATGAAGGCGAAGAAGAACAGGAGGAGGAGGAGGAGAGGAAGGTTTTCCGGTGGATTAACATCCAGATCAGACACGTGACCAGGCAGCGTAGCCAAACAACTCCTATCTCTCTGCCCCACATTTACAGCCACAATATCATTAGTGAGTCACACACACACACACACATTACATGTTTTTAACTGTAAATCTGACTAATGCCTCAGTGCTGCTCAGACACACACCCCCAACATGCTGAATGGAGGTGTGATAAACTCAACTATTGATTTCCACAGACATTTCTGGACTTGTCTTCTCTGCTGTGATGAATGAAGCTGAACATGTCAGATGCGTTGTGAAAGTCCAGAACAGACGCACCTCTATTGTTAGGCAACCAATGAAGGCTGTTTTGTTTGGCTGAACCACAACACACACACACACACACACACACACACACGCATGCAAAAAGACATGTTTTGAGTTTTTATATTTTCACCTTCCTATAATAATGACCCAAGTCATTTTTGGCCATGAGTTTTTTTGTTTGTTTGTTTGTTTGTTTTTTTTCCCCCCTAACTCATCCTTTGTCAACAAAAGGTGGTAATTTTTTAAAACAAGCAAGAAAATCTTTTGGCAAAAAAAGACTCAGGCCATCATCTTAGGAAGGTGACAGCAGGTGAGACCTCAAGTTTCCTAATGCTTGGATTGCAGCTCAACTCTTTTGCACTTTTTGTGCCAGAAAAGTGTTTTTAAATGACTAGACCTCCTAGAAAAGCAACGGGAAATGACTATTTTTGTATGTGTTGTTTTTTTGTTTTTGTTTTTTTTGTGGAAATGTGGATTCTGATCAAATGTTTATTCATTTTGAAAATGTCTTCATTACTTCTCTATCAATGAGTGGCATATTTAGACCTGTTTTGATTTATTTCCTCATACGTTCATGACCATCCTGTCCTCACCATTTTTAGTTATTTATTTAGTTTCAAATCAGAATTTAATTTCTGAAATAGTTGTCTTCTTCTTTTTTGATGTTTATTGGCAGTTGGCAAGCAACGAAAATGGAGCATTACCGCCACCAACTGGTATTGCGTGTGGACCAGAACGTCAGATTCTCTCCTCAGCAGTCATTGTCTGGTGACAACCGTTCATTTGATTCAGGTGTGTGGAGGACAATCACAATCTCGCCAATGCACCCAATCGTCCAATAACAAAGCAGCTGTAGGAACGACATCATCCAATCATTGTGCAGTTGTTTCAGGGTTCTTTTGGCTGACATATTTGCAGTTTTAGCTCAATCTGATTTTTTTTAAAAAAAAGGTTTCCTGCTTTATTGAAATTAAAATGTACTTTTTATGTCTAAATGTTATTTCACATTTTTTAATCCATTCGCAGCTTTACGATACCAATGTATTTAATTCACGTGCGACCTCCTTTTTGGGATCATTTTCCAGAACTTGTCTCCAGACACCTTTTTTTCAATTTGCATTTATGTCTTGTTTTTATAGACCATCTTGGTTCTAAACATCAGCTTTTCACAATCATCATTTATTCTTCGTGTCTCGTTCACTTTTGATTTTGCGTATACTTTTGTTCTGCTCGACTGACGTGCTGAACTTTAGTTTCATTTAATTACACTCATTAACAAGTTAGCCTGGAGTTATCGGACGTTTCTGCAGGATCAATACCTGAATTTATTTGACTGCATTCAAGGTCAGAGGGAGTCAATCAGGCCTGTGACCTTTCACCCACTTGGAGGGAAAGTGCATTATCAAGAAAGGTCAAAATCCACTTGATTCTCATCTGCGTGTCTGCATCAGCTGATTGGATTAGACCTCGCCTGATTCAGACAAAGTTTATGCCATGTCACAGAAAGAAGGAAAAACAAAAAAAAACTTCAAGTGCCATCATGTCTTTATTAGTTAGCCACATGTATGCAACAACATGGGTTCATACATGCATCACAGCAATACAGGGAGAATAAGCTGCTGCCAAGTATTTCACCTGACTGAAATATAGAGTTAGTTCAGAACAGAATCTTTTCATTGTGTTTTATTGAACCGCTGCTTGGTCTTATTTAGTTTTATGATCATTTCATGGAGAAGGTCCATGCAGAAGCGTTAATTTTGCCTTTTGAATTTCTCCAGCAGAAAGTCACACATGCACAGGTCTTAGCTGCGTGGAGCCGAAAGCCTTTCTGCCAATGGTGTATTAAAGCCATTGTAGATAGAAAAAAAAAGTTGATTACCATAAAAAAAAGCTCAAAAAAATTAAAATTAACTCAGAAATGTGCATGTTTTTTTTTTTGTTTAATTTTAAAATGTTTTTTTTTAGCAACTTTTGACTTCTCAAAATCAGAAATTATCTTGTTTTATTCAAGCAAATTTCTCCGATTAAGCCGAAAAAAAAAAATAAAATTTCAGTTCAATTTCCAACTTTTCAAACTCAGAAATTTTATGCCAAATTTCTGAGATTAATTCGACAATTTCTCACTTTTATTTTGACGGGATTGTGTTCTTCCCCTTTACTCTGTCTACAATGGCTCTGATATGACGTCATACATTTCACGCCATATGCGCCAAAACGACGGCGGAAAATTATTCCAGGTCGAGAACGTTCTGAGCCGCAACTTTTTTTTTATTTTTATTTTACATTTGAATTGTGTTGTCTTGCTACGTTGTCTGACCGGCAATAAGAATAAGAAGAAGGCAGCTGGCTAAAGATGGAGAAGCATAAAGGAAATCTCTTGAGGGCAGGAAACAAAAAAGAAAAATGGAAGAGGAGAACAAATGAAAAAAGCTTCTCAAAGTGGTTGACAGACAGTAGGTGAGTTATTTCAGTCTATCAAGAAAAGGCTTGTAAATATTCAGGTTAGTTTACATCACTAATAAAATGACAAGTTACTGGCAGCTTGCCTCTGTGTGTGCATACACCTCAGAAAGTTCATAACTGGGCTTTGTTGATTCAGTCTCAAATTCATAATTGAACATATGCAAAGCGCATAGTCGGTTGGTACGAATAAAATATATATATATATTTTTGCTTGCTTTGTTTTGGACGACGCACACACCAGAATAACAACACACATTAACCAATGAGCTGTGATTAGACACATCAGGGAAGCCGACCTCTTCACCCAGCAATGACGTGGTCACCGGAACGACATGAGGTCAGAAAGACGACCGGGAATTCCCTCTGTTGAGTCTGAGCATCTGTGCACTCTTCAATACAACATCCTCACCTGATAGCAGCGATAACAAAGACTTTATCTGCCCCGGGAATTATGATAAAGGCTCAGTTCAGAGGCAACTTTATCATGTTTTACAAGGTGCGATACGATAAGCTTCCTGGATTAGTTTAGGGTGGGTAGGTGAGGGACGGGGGGCGGGTTACTTTAGATCGACATCCATGTTTGTCACCAGAAATTTAAAATTCACATTGGACTTCTGGGGAAAGCTCCATACAAACACACGGAGGAATCAGTACCAACTTTAGAAACTGGAAAACATTTAGCAGAGATGGAATAAAGAAGCAGATAACTGAATCATCACAGCGTGAATTAATCCTCAAACTGGACGGTGTTGTCATTCAGCAGGACATGCCAGTGCTCGATCTTCTTGTCTTTGTTCTTGAGGCATTCGTACCAGTGTTTCAAACTCTCGCCTTTAGCCTGGATGCCGAGCTGACATCCCCCTGAAAACCAGACACATGAGATCAAGAGTAATGTGGTCATTCATACAGAAAGGCTTCCATTGACATCGTACAACAAATGTTTGTTTGTTTTAATGTCATATTTATCATTTCATTATTTTTATCCATTGCAATTGCTTGTCTTTTGGAGGATTCAGTGTTTTTATGGGGGCGTTTAACTTCCAGCACTAGTAAATAAATTCAGCTGCAGGTTTCTTCTTAAAACAAGATGCAAAATGAGATATATTGGTTTTAATAAATCTAGTTAGAGCGAGGTTTTTAATCTCGTTAAAACAGAACGTTCTCTTGCTTTAAGAAGTTTGCATCAGCGAGAAGGTTTTCTCATCTAAATGAGTTTATTTCCTCGCTCTGGTGGTTTAATGCTTCTGCATGTCTTTGCAAACAAGCTTAAAAACCTTTTGTGTTTTCTGACCGTTAATGATATTGTCATAGCCTGACATAGATAACGATAACAGACTGGTACAGATTTCTCCTCTCAGAGGCAAAGTCACAACCTCAACCTCAGATCAGATGGCGAACATGAGTCTATGCTTGTGCCATTAGACCTCAATGCTGCTTTTGATGCAGTCCACCACAGTAGGAATGAAGGTGGGGTTTGACTACTTTAGACCATTTTCCTCACAAAATGCTGCACTGGTGCAGAGTCATGAAATAAATCTGCATTTCAGTTCATTCATGTGTGTCTTTAAAAAGAAGAAAAGAAAAAGAACATTTTCATTGAATTCAGCAACCTCAAATATCTGTATTGGTATCAGAGGTGAAACAAGTGGATCGGTGCATCTGCAGGATGAATGCTGTGTGACTGCACATCATGTCTGATGAATTCAATCAAATGAGCCAGACAAGCCTGGCTCGTTGTCACATCTTTTCAAATTTCGACACCACCACAGATAAACAACCCAACAACCCCTGAACTCATGAAGAAATCTGTCCGTGGACTTACCGATGAAATCGTTGGATTTCCCCATGTCGTAGTCCCAGACCGAAACGTCCAGAGTTTTCTTGGCGAGCTCAGCATGTTTAATTTCGTAACTGAACTCCTGAAACCCAGTGAAGAAACGCGGGCTCTGTTACATAACCTGCGGGTGGAGTCGGAGGGCACGGTTCAGAAGAAGGAACTAACCTCGTTGAACTCCGGGTTAAGGGTCTTCTTTTTGATCTGAGTCTTGTTCTTGGCTTTCTTCCCCATGTCTGGCTTCAGACATCTACGGCAACAAAGAAGCAGAAAGTTCTGGACGCGATTCAGTCATCGACAAGAAAAAAAAAGAAAAGAAAGAGCTAATGAAATAAAGGCGGATGAAAGTAGGATGCACATTTTGACGAAAGGGTCTGAGTAGCCGTTGGAGTCCATGGCGGCGAGGTGAGCGCAGCGGACCACGCCCACTACCAGACAGCTCTGCTGACTGTTGTACATCAGCGATATCAGGATGCGGCCCCTCTCCTCCGAGTCCTCGCCTTCCTTCAGCTGTGTACACACACACACACACACAGACACACACACACACAATACACACTCGGCTAATGAATGCAGGAGCTTTTCAAAGAAACACATTTTCTCTGATCTCGATATCCTTTGTGCTGATCTCGTATCTGGACAAATTATCCTCTAAATGGAGCAAAGCATACTTCTCTAGGTTGTCATTATATTTTTCTCTAAGACTGATGCAATATAATTCATATAATTTTGAATTAATTTCATTTTCACAGCGTAGAGAAAAGAGATAGGGAAAGCAGGCTGTGCATCAGTTTGATTTAGTGAATCTATTTCCAAAGGTCAGACAGACTCCAACTCTGCAGGGGATCACAACTGGAACTGACGTCTGAAGCTGAAAACACACACAACGTCTGTCACAGTGTCTTAAAGTAGCTTTGTAAAGACACAAGCGATAAACCTGATCACACATTAGTTCAGAAGGACTATGCTAACCTTGTCGAGCTTTGGAGAAATCGTGACAATAGTAATGAAACTTACATCGTCCTCATAAAGTGCCATGCCACGAATTGACCCTCCAACAGCCTTCTTCACCTGCAAGCAAACCAAAACATCTGTCACCATCGTAGCAGAAAAAAATCCTGCATCTTTTACCTGCTTATCTCCCCATGTGGATATTTAAAAGGGCAGTGTTAAGTATAATCTAACCCCCTCACAGCTCCTTCAGACTAGCCGGCAGCAATTAGAAAACACCTGGTGGAACTGTGCATCTGCTGAGCTCATCGTACTTCTGAATGAAATGCTGGTAAAAACATTAAAGTGGTCAGTAGAGGAGCCATGCTGTGATGACTTCCTGAGGGCGGAGTTTCAGAAAGACAAGAGGCCCAATTTCAAGGCGCTGAATTATAAGGTCGCATTTCTTTTAAGTCATATTTGCATACAGTGACAAATACAAACTGATGGTTGTCACTTGATTGTGCTATAAAATGGCTCTATATGCCGAGACAATACATATTACTGACATAAATAATGGTAGATGAGGCAATATGGTGGTAGTTCCCTGTCAGACCACAAGGTGAATCAGTCAGAGGCCATTCAAAATATCAACTATTATTTGGAGTTATGTTTGAGCTTCACTAGATGAATGGATATAGATGTTTAACAGTGAATTGGGTCAAATGTCCCTTCATATCAGATCGCACTACATGAGCAGTGAATGTTCTTGTTTACCGGGATCACTCTCTCCAGGCAAACATTGAAATTCTTCTTCTGGTCGAACTTCAGCTTCTTGAGTGCCACCCGTGTCTCTCCAATGAATTCATTATGTCCAAACTTGTCCTCGTCGCTCACCGACAGCCTGCGGAAAGACGACCACGAGTTCTGCAAATCCTTGCCATTCCAAACCGGCTTCACAGTGACGCAGGTAAAGGTGATCGACGGTACCTGAGCGTTTTGCGTTGCATCTCGTCGTCGGTGATGCCGTGGTAAATCAGCGTCTCGTTCCACACGGGGTTCAGGGTGGTTTTAAGCGTCTTGGTGCGAAGCTTGTTGGACTTGGAACAGAACAGAACAGAACAGTCTTTCTGAGAAAGGAGCAAACGCTGAAGGTTGACTGAAAAAACCCACAAGGCTGATATATTAGAATAAAAAGCAAATCTCATGTTTTAGCTTGTGAAAGAGTTCAATCACATTCTTCGCCCTTGAACTTTTAACTGGTCAACTTGTTGTAATAAATATGCTGATAAATACCTTACTGGCTCCGGGTAGCAGATGCAGCTTTACATACGGATCTGCCAGTCCATTAGAATCCATTGGTTTCAAACCCTAAAGGTAAAAAAGATTCTTGTCGTGACAACGTCTTCATAACTGGTCCATCAAAGCATTGTAATATATGTCATTCTTGTGATGAATGGTCACAACCTTAAGGAACACCTGGGTTCCATTTTCAATCAAATGTCCTTTGTTTTTGTTTTTTTTCTTTTTTGTTCAACTTTTTTTGTGTCTCTATTTTTTGACCGTATTAAACTTTGAAGTAAATTCATTTTCTTGGAGTGACACAGACAGAAGGGCTGCACTGGTACATCTGGTAAGGAGACGTTCCTGAAGTCCATTTGTGACGTTTGTGCTCCATCCGTTCTGCCTCGTGTTAAAATTCTTTCCTTGACATATTAACTTGTCGGATTTGATGTTTTTCTGTTTGAACTTGAGCTTTTATTCATTGTTCTCTCTTTGTTGCAGTTCGTATTTGATCTTTTTCAGCTGTCTTGTTTCTTCTGTCTTATCGTCTTCATAAGACAGAAGACGATCATTTCTGGTTAATATTTCCTTCAAGGGTTTTCGTCCTGGCACAACTCCTTCAGTTGTTGTCTTGAGTTGCCAGGTCTTAGGTCAGCTTGGTGTTGTTTTGTCTTTCCTCTTTGTGCCTCGTCTCTTTCTGTGCTCTCTCTCCTTTCCCTACTGTACAAACCGTCCTTCGGCTCTATTTTCTTTTGTTAATGGCCTCCTGTCTCCTCTTATATTGTTACATCCTCCCCGTCTTGTGTTGCTTCATCGCGTCTCTTACATCTGCTTGTTTTGTCTCTTGTTGTCCTGTCTCGTTACGTCTCCTTCCCTTCCTCTTTTATCTGCTCATGTTGGACCACCTGGCCTTGTTGTGTCTTACTGAATCTTGTTTTATTTGTCTCGTCCTGTTTGATCTCGTCCTATTTTAACATGTTTATTGCTTTAGCCACGCTCCATATTGTATTGCTGTCCTCTCCTGACTTGTCTCGCTCTACTTTTCTCTTCTGTTTTCTCAGCTTAACCAAATGTTGGTCTTTTTTTTTTTTTAACAGTTTTTCACTGTCATTTTACAGTTCTGTCTATATATATATATATATATATATATATATGTATATATATACTGTACACGAGCCGCAAGGAAGGAGGAGAGGACTAGTGAGTGTGAGAACCACTGTCCAGGACGAAACAACTAAGATCCATTAATACATCAGGGACAAAGCCTCAACAGACAATGTGCTCAGTGAATGTCTCAGACAACAGGGAACAGAGATTGAGGTGCCAGAGATACCATCATGGGAGGACAAGCCCCTACATGGATGTACCACCAGCAAATAACCCAAGTGGCTGATATCAGTAAATCTACCAACGGCTGGAAAAAGCTGGACTCAAGGACAGCACAGAGGCCCTCATCCTGGCCGCCCAGGAACAGGCCCTAAACACCAGAGCAATAGAGGCCCAGATCTACCACACCAGACAAGACCCAAGGTGTAGGTTGTGCAAGGAGGCCCCTGAGACAGTCCAGCACATCACAGCAGGGTGCAAGATACTGGCAGGGAAAGCGTACATGGAACGACATAACCAAGTGGCAGGCATAGTGTACAGAAACATCTGTGCAGAATATGGACTGGAAACCCCGAGATCAAAGTGGGAAACACCCCCAAAGGTGGTGGAGAACGCCAGAGCTAAGATCCTGTGGGACTTCCAGATCCAGACAGACAGAATGGTAATGGCGAACCAACCAGACATTGTCGTAGTGGATAAACAACAGAGGAAAGCCGTTGTGGTAGATGTAGCAATACCAAGTGATTGCAACATCAGGAAAAAGGAGCACGAGAAACTGGAGAAATACCAGGGCCTCAGGGAAGAACTGGAGAGGGCCTGGAAGGTGAAGACCACAGTGGTGCCTGTGGTCATCGGGGCCCTCGGGGCAGTAACCCCCAAACTGGAGCAGTGGCTACAACAGATCCCAGGAACAACATCAGACATCTCAGTCCAGAAATGTGCAGTCCTTGGCACAGCCAAGCTCCCAGGCCTCTGATAGAGGACCCGAGCTCAGAGGATAAGAACCACCCGCGGTGGTGAGAAGGGAATTTTTTATTTTATATATATATATATATATATATATATATATATATATATATATATATATATATATATATATATATCACATTAGCAACAAACCACTGCTAATGTGAAAACCTAGGCCATTCAAAAGAAAAACGCATAAAATATTAGTGGGAAAAATTGATTAGTTCTAATAGCAAAGGTTTTCTGTCAGCAGAGATTTGACTCAAATCTAAAAGATGACCAGCTTTAAGGTACCTTTTCAACTTTTGTTTCTAAGTTACAGGACTTACAATTCACTACAGTGAAACAGATTTGTTTGATTTTCAGCTGAAATGTGGAGGATGTCCTATTAAAAATGGAAAAAGTTCTGAAATTACTCATTTTTGTACTTTTTACATCACAGAACGTTTGAGTCATGCCATGCTTTTCAGGCATATTTACTTTGTCTTGTTGTTTCACTGTTCTGGTTTTGTGTTCACCTTGGCTTTAATGATGCAGCAGTGTAGAGCATGATGCTCCTGTTCATAAAGAAGGCTGAACTCCAGAGATCCCAGCGTGGCTGTAAGAATAACGACACAGACGCACAACTTACATTTGCAACTGAAAGTAAAATAAAATGTAAAAATGTTGAAATTTTTGAACAAATGACAGATGGACAAGTGTCAACCGTCTTACTTGCGTCGTCTGAGTCGTAGTCATTGTCGTCGTTCTCTGTGTGATCTGGAGCGAGTTTCTGAGTCATCGCGTTGCTGGGAGGTGGATTAGCAGGTGGAGTGATCCTGGTCGCAGGTTTGTAAGTGGGACCCGAGGAGACGACCGGTTGCCGCTTGCTCTCCAGATCCGCTGCTGGAACTACAGACACGGTGAGTCTGGGCCGTGTTTTCTTAGAAAGTGCTATCTGAAATGTTTGGACCCCCTGTGGTCTCCCTGCAGCGTTGGGCTTATTCTTAGAGGGAGGAGTGTGATTTTACCTGGGGTGGGTGCCGTCTGCTGCGTGTTTTCCTGAGGCGCTTTGGACGCCAACACATGTCTCTCCGCCTTGGTTCCAGCTGCCTGAGTAGAATGAGTCTCATCACAGCTGTCAGTTGTTGTTCTTGCTGTCTGCTCCCATTGTTCTGACGCACTGGACTGCTTCTGCTGAGGCTCTGAGGAGACAAAGGAAGATGATCAGAGCTGCCACAATCGTCTGCGCCACGGCAGCTACGTCAAACTGCTGCTTCGATGGACGGACTAGTAGTGACTGCTGGGAGTGGGGACAGTAACAGTCACCAGCGCATCCTGGATCCAGCATCATGCACACACCTGTTCAGGAAAACCTGCTCATTGGTACCAGCAGCTACGTTTCAATTAACAACAGAGTTGAAAAATAAATTTGCTTCATGGGAACGCGGCAATTTGGAAAAAAACTGGTTTCTCCACTAGGATGAGGTGGTTTATTTGGCCATATCAACAAAATGTATTTTGCAAAACTGCAACTTTTTTCTTCTTTTTTTGCAGGATACTAATCACGTGATCAACAGCCAGATGTTACTACTGGAAAAAACAACAAAGAAGACGACAGGAAGTGGCAGGGTGATCATGGATTGCTTTTGTTTGCTTTTTTGTTTGGCCGAATCATGAACGTATCTCGTGTAGCTGTTCACATCCGAAGATTTTTAATGGCTTATCACGTGGACAAGCTTATTCACATGTGATTTTAATGGTTTATTTTTGGGTTTATTTAATGGAAACACCTCAATTACAAAAATGTGTTTTTTCAACATCAGCAGAATATCGACATATATTTGTTCTGGAAAAGCAGGCAGCAGTACAAAGCCATGTAAAAGTTTTTATACCCTCATATGTAGAACATTTTCTTCCCTGGTCCTGCATTGGCACTACAGGCACAGCATGAAATATAACCGACTGCCTACATGGAACAAAAATAATATTTGGAGATGGTATCCTATCTGCCTGATTGGCTTTATGAAATCACTACTGCATCTGGCATCAGAGTGGATGAGTCGAATTAATGTCATTTGACCTTATGACATTCAACATGTATTGTTCTGTTGTTTTTATTGTTTTGTTGTGTGTGTGTGCCCCATAAGAAGAAGTGCTGTTGTTGGGTTATGAGTTAGGCAGAAATGAAGTCAATACAAAGTCCTTCTATGGCTAGAAATACCAGCTTGTGTGTTTCAAATATTCTCTCTGTATTTTCATGCCTGTATTTGGGATGAAACTACTGTAATTGTGTTCATTGTCATAAGAACTGAGCTACTAAAAGAAAGGATTACACTCATACAATGTATGAAATATAAACATGAATGGTTCCACATTTCCTGTTTTTGCAAAATCAATACCCTTTGGAAATATAATATAAATTTTGCATATTCTAGTCTGATGTTTTAATTCTTCTTCTTCTGACATTGAAGTTAATCGCTTACATTTTCAAACACACACCAGGACAAAGTTACTGACTCTATTCAGTTGAGCAATCCTGTCTGTGACAACATTAGACGTGTATTTGATGAGCGTGTTCTAAGCTGCAAGCAGGGGGCGCTAACACATGGTGCTAACTTGCCATTGACTGCAGTGTATTGAAGCCATAGGAAACTTGTTCAGGGCAAAATTTATAGATAAATTATGTAATTTTTTTTCTGGCGTTCATGCTCTCCCCCTTTTGTCATGGTGCCCTGGGCAACTGCCCAAATGGGTCACGTCAAAAACTGACAGAGAAAAGTTAAAACGGAGTTTATCATGTTGCGAAAGTGGGCCCAGGAAACGTAGCGCGTCATTCACACACACACAGATAGGCTACAACCAAACCAATAATCAATTAATCAATTAAAATTAAGAAATTTATATTATTTTGGATATGTAAAATTTCTTGAGTTCTAGTGTTGTGTGTTCTTTGCAAAATTATAGTCTGTCTTTTGAGAGAGCAAAATTGCATGATCATGCCTTTGAAAATAGTCTCAAAACATCAAAATTATGGTTTATCGCAATACTTCAAGCATATTTTTTATTTGACAGAGATACGTTCCTTAACCCTTACAACACCTGACCAATGAATATCGGACGCGACGTCAACAAGCTTTGTAGTTAGAATCATGTTTCTAAATCAAACTGTAGGTGACAAGTAAGTGCAACAGTTAGTGTTTTGGTTACCATCAGTCTGATGACTTGGTCTGTGACCCCGGACCCTGTGTTGTCCTCTGGGTTGGACTGAGGTCTGGAGAGAGGCAGGGGGGAGGGCAGGCCCTGCTGATCTCTTCCTTTATAAAACCAGCCCCCGAACGTTTCTGAACCTGCAACAATAAGACAAAAAGCCCAACGAGGACTCATGCTAAAATTCATTTATCAAATGATTTTTTTGATGTGTGGTCCACCATTCAAAAAACGCCTCAGGACAGGTTCGAGTTTGTCAGGACTAGATTATAAACTAGAAGAACAAAAAAGGAGCGAGCTGAATCCTGCGACTTCTACCGAGTTTTGCTCTTTCCTCACCAACTCGATGTTTTGCTTCTTGCCTTCTGATGGAGGATCTAAGTCCTACATGTACTAACCGAATATTTAAGACAATTATTCGTAAAGTAGCTTTGAGAAGTAAGATGGTTTTAAGGCTCAAACATTTGCTACATCCTCTTTTATTGTTTGTTTTTTTTCTTCTTCTTTTAACAAGTTTGGGGTTTTAGTTTATTTTAAATGATAAATTTGGGGAAATAAACACCTTTTACATCACAAAGCCTTGACATTTTATCAAGCGTGTGTTGAGATCCAGGGTATGATTGATATGAATCCATAGCTAAGTGTTCCCTATATACCTACAAATATATGTTCCCTATATACCTACAAATGTTACATTTGATTATCTTCTTCTAAAGTGTAATTTTAAAAGCATAGTGTAATTTATCTTTTAAAATTACACTATAAAAAAACAAAAAAAAAAACATCTATGTACATTACACAATGTAGTGACAAAAGCCACACCAAAACATGTTACCAATGGCACCACAGGGTTTTATGTTGACATAGTCTGTGATAAAGAGAGCTTCAGGCTCTTAAAGACACAGTCCCTCATTATCCAGAAGGTATTGTGTAACAATACCACAAAGACAGCATAAAGTAGGACACGTTAATTTCCCCTCATCTGAATATTCGAAATTAAATAGTCCTAAATATATCATTACTTCCTCCCTATTTTTGATATCTACACTCTATTAATGGAAGCCAATTTTCCAGGTCAGTGGGCAGTGAAATACTATTGTGTGCTAAAGCATGGGTGTGAACGTGAGAAAACGGCTCGTTTCACAGGATAAACTGAGCTTCTGCTGGCAGAGCGGTGACATAACGCCGTGACTCAGACCCTGAGGTCCAAAGCCTCCTGGCTTCTCCTCCGGCCCTGCAGCTCACCTCTTGCTGCTCGTTGCAGATCCGGCAGAGCCCACGTCGGACAAGTTCTGCTGTTGATCCAAATCCCGCACTTGCTGCACATGTGCTGCAGGAAGACAAGTGCACACACACGAACACACCAACTTAGGGCGAGGGAGAGAGAGGATTGAGCGCAACATGACAGGTGCACAAAGCACATACATTTTCACAGTTCATATGGCATTAACCCCCTACTTGAGTAGTGAGAGCAGCATGAGGCAAAGTGTCACACAGAGGGCCCGGGAATACACCGTGTGCATCAGAACAAGTTAGCACTCGGACCGCTGACTGCTCAGAACCTTTACAGAACCGCACAGAACTGCAGAATGTGTTGTGGAAAGTAGAAGGGGAGGAATGATTGCTGAGTTGAGAAAAAGAAAAAAACTTTGAACATTCGATTAAGTAGGGAAGCTGATGAGCTGCTGCTCAGGGCCCTCACGCCACCAGAGGGCCCCCAAGAGCACTGAGCAAGTGTGACAATAAAAAATAAAAATAAAGTTTTTTATTTAATAAGTTTGGATGATACAAACTAAATTCTATTACAAATGAAAAAATAATTTTGATATTATTTGTACAGCTGGAGCACATATAATAGGGTGATCTCTTCCTGTATTTGTTTGCTGCCACTGTAAGGAAAATGTAAGATTGCTAACTTGTTTTCTTAAAATTCAGTGATTGTTTCCTGATGTTACTGACAAATAGATAAAATGACGCAGCACACTTAAATACCTCTCTACCCTTTATAATCCAAATATTCCTGTGAGTTTGCTCCTCCTGTAAGGTTAAAACCAGCAGCCGTAACACCAGTACATTAGGTAAGCAGCCCTGGAATGATGAATTATCTGGCGTTGACCTGTTGGTGTTGGGGCCCCCAAATGAAAAGCCACCTTGGACTCCAAAAAGGCTTGGTGCTCGGGTCGGATAACATCAAATTTAGCAGCATGTTATTTTTAAATAGTGAATTAGACTGTTAAATTAATGCTTTATAATCAATACAATCATTTCAATTGGGAATCAAGTAAAAGCGAGTCTGTGGATATATTGGTTCATGTTTCCCGTCTGCACACAAACACACATATGGAGCTTTCTCAAATCTTCACTTTGGTCAGGAACAATGACCCCTGAGGGTTAGGGTCAGTGACTCTGACCTGAGTATTTGCTTCATAGAGATGCTCTTATTACAGTCCGTCTGAGCTTGAAGTTAAGATAAAATGAAAGAACTGTGAATCCTTGCTGTATGCAGCCAAAGCCTTGCATTTTACTTGGTCTAATTTCTAGTTTGAAATAAGAAAACAAACTTATATTGACTCAAACGTCAATATAGACGATGTTGTTGTAATTAAGTAATACTTTAATACTGATGAAAAGTACATGACTAACAGATTATGAACCAGTACTTTTTCGTCAATATTAAAGAATTGTTGACTTAAAACAAGATCCTACAACCTACTAGAAAGTTGTGTGTCACACTTTTTCAACCTTTTAGTGTAAATATTTTGAAATTTGTGAAAATTAATGCAGTTTTGACTGCATTTTTTTAATGCAGTCAAAAACTGCATTAAAAAAAAACAAACAAAACAAAAAAAACAACCTCTTGTTAATCGTGCATTTCAAACAGAAATCCCTCCTCTGGGAGAATCCGCCTTTGTGTACAGAAGACTCTCCATCGTATTTGTCGCTAGAATAACAACTGTACCTTTTTGCACTGTGAACAGAGAACAGCTGTGACCCCCTGCGCTCCGAAGGACGTCCCACACAGCAGGCAGCGAGACTGTCCGTCTCCACACGCCGTCTTCTTCATGCTGTCCAGGCGACTGGACAGACGCCTAAGAGAACATCCGAAAACGTATCAGCGCGGTGACACAAGCACGCCTCTGGGTTTTTACACACGCAACGTTTAACAGACAGCAGAGAGGCTTCCTGGACAGAGTCCAGAACAACAGAGGCAGCGTTTCTCCGTCTCACTCGATGCGCTGCTGCTCCAGGGCCTCCATCATGGCGGCGCGGGCCAGAACGCCGTTGATGATCTCCTTCTCCTCATCTGTAAGGTCGCCTCCCAGGGCGCCCCCAGACACGCTCATCACCACCCGGTCCTGCTGGCATGAAACACAAAACACACACACACACACACACACACACACACACCAAAATAGATACAAAATTGTCAGGTAAAACATTTAAAAAAAATAAGCTAAATGTGTTGAAATTGTATCAGTACAAAGAGTTAAATGTTAAAATCTGCAGACAGGAGCACAGCTGGAAGCATGTTGGAGTTTCACTGATGCTGAGCTGCAGTGGAAAACGTCGCACATATTTATCACACGGAGATGAAAAAGTCGTGGGGAAGACAAAGAATCAGAAAGAAGGGAAATATTGTCTTGATTTGGACTCGTGTCAATAACTCCAGATTTGTGTTTGTTGGTTTCGGAGTCACTTTTCATTGAAAAGTTTTCAGTGACTCCGAAAAGGGTTTGAAATATGAGGTTCTGCTGCTGGAAGACCCAGACAAAGCCTCTCAAAATGTTTAATCTGCATCTGATTTAAGAGAAAAACAAATCTGTTTAGAAGTGAAAAAATGTGGAAGACTATAAAAGGTGGAAAATAATAATAATTTAAAAAATCCAAGCGGAGAGTATATGAGGATGATCTCGTCTCGATTGGTTGTTTTGGACCAGGAGCGGTGTATTTTGCAGACAGCAGTAGCAGCTCAGGGAATCGGTGAAGGACCTTGATTTTTTTTCACATTTTATTTGTCTCATACTGCCACAGCATAGTGACATGGTTTTTATTTAGTCGGTTTGTGAAAGTCACAAACTGCAGCTTGAATCCGAAATACAAGGATTTGCAGTAATCTAGGCCGGATGCAGAAGGAAACACTGCTTCTAGTCCGTACCGGGTTGGACAGATCATATTTTTGTTATGTTTCTTAGCTGAGTCTTTTCAGACTGAACAGCAGAATCTAATCTGTGAGTCATAGGTTAACGATAAGGGTAAGCCGGCTACACAGCTCCAGGCTCGACTACTTCCTGTTTTGCTTTACCTCATTTTTTTTTGTCTTTGAACTTTTGTGTGTGTGTGTGTAAATTATGCCCAAACTTCTCAGACCTGTTGATGGTTTTTATTGACTGTTCCAACCAGCCACGGCCGCTCAGGCTGGGAACCTGAACCGTACAGTCGATATGGGAAGAGAATTACGGGGTTCCAGGTGTGAGCCAGAGGAAACGTCTGAGTGAATTGTGTTTCTCTCCCCATCTTGAAGTGTTTATCTTTCAGCTCTCACAGTGTGATGGTCGGATGAGCTGACTAATGCTGCTGATGTTGATAATTGGCTGGAAGATGCCCGGCATTAATTGACTTTGAGGTTTAAGCTCTCTGACAGAGCAGAACTCACTTCTCCTGCCAGCTCAAATCATTTGCAGTCGTTTTTTTTTAACTGAGACCATAAAACTGTTTTTTTTTTTTTTGTCCACCAAAGGATCAGTTAGCCATAATTTTGTGGCTTCCAGTGGCATTGGGATGCTTTCATGCAGAGTTTGGTTGCACATGCCAGTTAGATTTCTCTTAAACTTTATATCCAGCACTGGAAAACAGGACAAACAGAAACAAGCAAAACACAGCAGACATGGACGCAACGTCGCTAAGATACAACGTTCTGAAGTTATTCAAATGAAGCTTAGAGAGCACAAAAACACGCAAGCGTGCTAAAATATTATGCTGCCTATCAAATCAATGCAGTTTCTATCTGTTGATATCAATCAGTCCCTCCAGTTTCTTGAGAATTTTTGTGGAAATTCACACAGAATCAACAAATCTCCACACTTTTTTTGCACTCACGCAAACTTATTGCAGATTTTTCTCAAAAATTGTCAAAAACCTTCTTACTAGTGATCAACAGCCGCCTCGGCCTTAATTGATGTCAGATTACAGTCCGTGATCCATACAGAGAGTAATGAAAAAGTCATATTTACCATCAGAAATAAATATTGCAAACATTTCCAAATTAGTTCCACAAACACTTTGATTCTTTTTGCAAAAAAAAAGTTACAAAAACTTGCCTCCTTCCCATCTCGTTTCCTAACCTCCTGTTTACCGGAAATACACTCCTGATTCACTTCTAATGGCCTTAAACTAAACACACACATTTGATTGAAATGTAATTTCTTTTAGGGGACTAAGTACCTTTGAATTTTAATTAAGCGTCCCTTACTTTTCTCCAGCAAAATCTCGCAGAAAACTGATAAGCTTCCACAAATACGGAGTGCTGTTACAAATGCATTCCATAAAATGGAATTTTTTCATGAAAAATAATAATGACAAAAACCACTGCTGTCAGACCGGGCAGGGGAAAAAAAAGGATGGAGAGAGCCGCTACTTCTACTCAACTCAGCTCTGTCACAGCTGCAGCTATTAGCGCTGCTGGCCACTAAAATCCTAAAAATCTGCATCTGGTGACCGCGCGTTGCTGTGTGCTTGAGCTGGAAAAACGGTGCGCTAATTAAGGCTGGCTGTGGAAAGTGACCCTGCAAAAGCTAACAACGCCTGGTCAACAGCAGCAGCTGCAGCAGCAGCAGCAGCTGTGGAGACATTCTCACCACTCATTATCTTCTCATAAGAACGATGTCAGGAACAAAGTAACTTCTCATCTCTGGCCCAAACAGATCTGCAGGCCACAGAGAATCTTATTGGTGACATTTAAGGGGACGTTCTGAGGGAAGCTTGCTTGAGTTTAAATCCTGCATCATGTTACCCTTTTTTTGCGAAAGACTCCCGAGATTAGCTGCTTGACCCCGTGTCCACCGAATCTCAACAGGAGACGGAGCCGCGGCTGCTGAGTAAGAGGAGCGCTGGCTTAACGGCTCAGCGCCCTTCAGCTCTCACATCCTCTTCCTCAGCCCCTTGGAAACCTACCCATCCCCACAGCGTAGAAATGTCAAAGGTCGCCGCCGTGGACAGCGTGGCAACCTGACAGGCGGCCGTCGCATCTGTTTGCGTGTGAGTGTGTGCCTCGAGGTGTTCGGGGTGAGGAGAAGCGGTAATGGGAATACTCTGATGAAAAATGGGAGAAACTCTGCAAACACACACACACGTGCACACATACACACGCCGTCATTATGAGTCAAGACTCTGCATTTACCAGCCTGGAACATTTATAATGACAAATTAATAGATCATGAAGGCATCTTCCACTGTAGCAAGGGGAGAATGAGCATTTTCTTTTCTTTCTTTTTTTTCTTTTACATCAGCACAGATAGATGTCATGTTAAGTGGCTCCATTCTGAGTTACATCATTTGGACTGATACACAGAAACACACACACAGACACACACACCCACACACACACACACGCACCCACACACACACACACACAATATAACTGTGGGCACTATGATAAATTGCACAAATTGAAATGACAAAAATGTTATTGTTTAATGCAAAAATGCCAATTTCAGATAAAAAGTTTTTGCACTAGGATGAGGTGGTATTGTGGTCAGATCGAAATAGATCTATTTAGCAAAACTGCAATGGAAACGGGAGTTACATGATCAGCAGCCATATGTTGCTACTGGCAGAAACCATGAAGGAGACGACAGGAAGTGGTAGGAGGATGATGTTTTTGCCTGTTTTAATCAGACCATGTGCAGCTGGCTCATCAGGCTCTCACAACATCACACAATTTCAAAAAAGTTACATGTCATTTTGAGAGGTTGGATGAGCTCTAATGTAAAATAACTGACTACAATTTCACAAAAAGGCAACAGCAGTCACTTCCAAGTAGGCGGGGCTTATCGCTCCAACCCCTGAACAAGCCGCTGATGTCTCCTCTGATTGGTTGATAGATGATGAGCGTCATGGCTGACTTATGAATATGTCGTTTAACTGTTTACATCTGTCATTACCAAGATTTGTAATGATTTTCCACATGTTGCATTAGAAATGGTAAATGGAAACAGCAAAATTTTAAATAATTTAATACATTTTGTGGTAGTTTTCCGCTCCATGGGAGATGAAACACTTTACTGAATAAGTTTTGACGTAGTGAACATTTTCCTGTTTATCAGCTGTGCATAATGTCAACATCTGACAGAATTACTCTTTTGATTTATTGATCAGCCTGTTGATTCACTCCAAACCAGAAGATGAATTAGTGTTTTCTTTTTTGTTTGCAAAATTTTAAGTTTGCATGACAACTATATAGTAAAATAGCTATTGTTTGAATTACCTTAAGCTCCACTTTGGGGCCACACACTAATCTTTGATCAAAAATCAATTAAAATCAGTGTTTTAAAGAAAAGCTTCCCAAAGAGCTGTTATGAAATGAAATGGGTGGAGTTGAATGAGACTGGCGTCCCTCCACACACACACACACACACACACACACACACATTACGGACTGGCAAGTTTACACACTCACCATTAGCGCCCTGATGTGATTTATTTTGCTTGTTTAATAATTCATCTGCATGGATCTTATTTCCGGGTGAAATGATAACAAACAGGACCGACCAAAGTAAGGCCTTCCGAGGGCTGTGGAAGGATTCTGTGTCGACCCGGACCGAAAATCCAAAACGGTACAACCTTGGACCCCATGTTGCTCTTTTCACTGACAAATTGAAATCTTCATATATGGACTATGTTAAGCACACATTCATGTATTGATTGTAAAAAAAAAAAAGAAAAAGTCACTTTAGAAAACCTAAAGTAACCGAACTACCCACCTCTGCTTGACATTAGAGGATGCAAGATTTTCACTGAACACAGTTGTCGATTATGAATTATACTCTACTGAATAATGAACTAATGGACAGAAACCACTTATAGTATTTTCTGCGTCGTAAATTGTACACCGACTGTTTTCATCAGTCAGCGATGACTGCACACACACACACACACACACACACATACACACACACCTGAACACACAGATGTGGGCTGAATGATTACCGACTGGAGCTCTGCTGTACACAGTACAGAACAAAAACTGCTCGTACATGACAGCATATCAATATCCCTCCTGTTTTTACCCCATTACTCTCAGTTTGTCTCTCACACACACAGCAGTCGCAGCGGCGCTGATGTTATT